CAGCACCCAGTGAACAGAACTACATGGTTTTAGCAAGCTGACACAAGTAGCTGAAACTACACCAAATGATGAAACATACAACTGTCTGTGTAGGAGACGACAGAAGGAATAGAAGCTGAAATTCATATTGTTACAGAAACGCATAAGGCCTCAGCCTGTGCTTCCAAACACCTTTTGTTCAAAATCTGGACTTCATACTACCAAAACAAGAAGAAACGCTTACTTGTCTTGCATTAAACCATCAGCATAAACACACACACTACAGAAGAACCAGGAATACACCACAATGGTTGAGCAACATCACATACACCCATTCAAGAAGGGCAAACTCTCCCTGCCACCCCTGAAACCAGCTCCTGTCAGATCAGCAGACAAGTTTTATTTATGTTCGAAACTGATCAATATGCAGATTAATCACAACATCTTTCTGGAAACCCCAAAGGCTGACAGCTGCACAGTATTTCCTGCTCTGGAGGCTTGCCAGCTGATTAAATGCCCTACCTATTCAGGAAGGAGAACAAGATGTCTGTCCAGACATTTGTCAATGTACCACTTCATTTCCTCATACTAAGTCTTCAGGAATTAAGCACTGAGCAATCTAAGCAGGCACTCTGTGCAAAAGACCCGGTCAGCTGTCCTGCATTCTTCCATCATTTTTTCTGAAAGAGGACAAGGAAAAGCGACTTCTCAAACAGCAGCAGCTATGAATGAGAGAAGAATCTCTTACAATCAATGGAAGCATAGATGGTCCTCCCCATGTAGGAGCTGTTTCTCCCTCGCTCTGGGGAAAAGGAGTGGGGCACAGTGGGAACAGAACTGCCTCCATAACCAGAAAGTTGCACAGCTCTTCTCACTGCCCTCTCAAGGAGCTGCAAGCTTTGGCATATCAGCTGTCAAAAGTTTCCTAAATTATATCCTGCTTAAACTAGATGACCAGAACAAAAGAAAAAACATTTCTTTCACACGTAGAACACTTAGCACGGCATTCAGTCTAAGTCCTTATGGACAGAATTCATTTCCATCAGTATTCTGCTATCATGGATCTGAATTGTTGTGATTTCTTTTCTCCCCTCCAAATGATGTCTCCACATCAAAGGCAGGTTAGCCTCCCCATTGAAACATAGCAACAGACCGCTCAGGTACCATCACACACAGCAGAAACAAGGGCAAGATCAACTACAACCTGTTTAGCAATAAAGCCCACACCAAGTAAACATACATTAAGAGTAATGAAACAAGCAAAAATATCAGTCATGTTGCTCTTGAAGCAATCCTTATTACCTTGAACTACCCTTGATTGACCAATCTGGAAGCATGGCATATATCTCTATCCATCCTTATTGGCTTCAGTTACTAATATGATTGAGAATCTATGGTTCGATGACTGCAAGAGGCTCCATTTGGCTGCCTGCACGAGCTAACAAAACCCTTTAGTCTTCTCCTCCCTACCCCATCCTTCTTCCTTCCTTGTAGTTCATGGGCACAAATACAATCCAAATGAAAAAAGTGTTTTCAGCAGAATTGCTTCAGTTAAGAAAAGAAACAGACCCCTAAGCGTCACTACGTATGAGTAAATAGGCTTTTACATTTTTAGCCTGAGAAAAGCTGTAACTTTGCTATCCTGTCCAACTTCCTGCATAAACCACGCTGAAGCAAGCCAACTGTTCACAGTACCCATCACAATTCAGCATAGGATATGAGACTTGACTTAAGACCTCAATAAACAAAGCTAACCAGAATCTCCATTAAACTGAAGGGAGTTTTGAATTGTCTCCCCTTGCACTGTGCTCCTGGGTTTTATACTATTTTAATCATGATTTAAATAAGGCCCTATTTCTGGTTAATGAAACCTACAATTCCTTGCTGCCATGCTTACACACTTCTCACTAAACTACACAGTGCTTCGTGATCTCACTCAAAGACCTGACAACTGTCCTTTCTTAAATACAAGTTTACTCACTCAAAACAGAGGAAACTAAGCAAGGTTTTGATTCTGTCTGCTTTTATAGCGCATTTCTTCCACTCTTCATAAATTCAAAAATAATTTAAGTGCTATTCAGAATTTTTTAGGCTTCATTAAAAGTCAACCATAGAATTCAATTACGTATAACTCTCCTCAATCTAACAACAAAAAGAATCAGATGTAAAAAAGAACCTCTTAGAGCCTCGTAACTGTTAAAAAAAAAAGAAAAAAAAAAAAAAAAGAAAAAAAAAAGTCAACAAAAGTAGCCAAAAGAGAGGACAAAGTAAAACCAGCAAAATGTTAAGTAACATTCCTCATTCAAAGAAACCACAGAACCAGTTTTACTCCTTCATCAGTCTTGAATTTTTAGCCTTCTGGTAACAACTACTTGAGCTTCCTCTTTTTCTGAGTTGAATGAAATTGAGTGTAAAAACTAACTGCAGTATTGATTAGCTTTTACAGATCTGAATTTCAGGATATAAAGCACCTAATGTCCTTTTGAAAGTACTCAATATTTAAGAGTCTTAAATAACAGCCCTTCCACAGCTTCCCTTTGCTCTCAAAACTAAGACGTACTGAACAGATCTTAATTCCTACTTTATGAGAATCTCCTAAGTTTTCAAAACCTACAGAAACAAAATAAACTACTCCCGTGAACAGCACTCTAATAAATTTTATCATTACTATTCAACAATCTTTTCAGTTCAATGCAAAGTTCAAGTTCTGCGTTCATATTCATTGGAGCAGGACAGAAAACCAGCATGAAAAACTCCTGGATTGATGCTGCCCCTGGAAAAATGAGCACCAGGTTCTCATGCCTATTAAACCACTGCATTTTAAGTTTTTATCCTTCCTCGAATCAGCTCTGCATTAAGACAAATCTTGATTGTTACACGGTATTCACACGTAAAATAAGTTTCATTTCCCCCATTTTTGGGAGGCCACACAGCCAGCCCTAAGAAGATATTTTCCTGATAACACAATTTCATCTACAGGAGTTGTATCTTTCCAGAAGACCCTATACAAATGAATGTTCATGCTTCCTGAAACACCCTTAGGTTGTTAGCTTTTTTCTTAAAAGGTTATGAGACCTTCCCATTAGAGTGCTGTCTTCTATACCTTACAATTCCAAAGCACCCAGGGACCCCCATCGCAGTTCAGTCAGCCTCTAAACCTTTGTTCCCAGAAAAACAAAAACAGTAGTTTGGTCTAAGTTTTCTTTTGTTACAGACATGTTTATCTAAATTACCTAACAGGGCAGCCCGCCGTAGATTAGAACTTGATTACAAGCATATTTTATTATTAATTACTGTTTATTATTGATTACTGTTCAGCCACAGCAACAGTATGGGGAAACTGATTAAGCGTATGAAGTTGCTTGAAGAGCTGAGAAACCCTTTAAAGTTAATACTTGTCACAACTCAGAGATTCCTTCCCTCCTCTTAAGCACCATATATTTCACTTCATGGAAAACAGTGCTGGAAACAAGATTGTGCTGTCTAATCTTTGGGCACAAAAGGTTTTGGGCAGGGTTCTTCACAGTCCAGCACTTCTTCACTGTGACTGAAGAGAAATAGTGTAGTATACAACAAACCAGCAGCACTGGCTGCAGTCCACAGCCAACAGGACACACCAGAAAGGCCCCTTTCTTTACTACGAATGGTGAGGTGCTGGAACAGGCTGCCCAGAGAGGCTGTGGATGCCCCGTCCATCCCTGGAGGTGTTCAAGGCCAGGTTGGATGGGGCCACGGGCAGCCTGGTCTGGTATTAAGTGAGGAGGTTGGTTGTCCTGCATGCGACAGGAGGTTGGAGATTCATGATCCTTGAGGCTCTCCCAGTCCTGGCCATTCTGTGGAAGCAACTGTAGATCATCATTTTCCATCTGGGAAACATCCTCCAAAGGACGGCGGCCAGTGAAACTGCAAGTCATGGATTTTTTTTTTTATTTTATTTTATACTGAGGAGAACACATTCCCTTACAAAAGAATCAGTAGGGGAAAGAAGTATAGCACTCTTCACCGAGTTATTAGCGTATTATTAGTGCAATGTTAAAATATTTCAGTAACACAGGAAAAGTGAGAGTTATCAACATGTGAGGCTAGAATTTTATTTCTCCCATAAACACAGCATAATTTACCAGAAAAATTGAAGTAGAGTCATTTCTATGAGCTCAAAACTTCCTTGTGCCCTTGCCCCTTAATCCAGCAGAACACAATGTACTTTTGCATGTATATACTTCTTAATGTTAAATCAATTTCACTGACAGGAACATTTCCTTTCAATTGAGCTAAATATACCAATCTGGAAAAGAATTAAAGAGAGACTACAGCATCTAACAGTGGTATGCCTGTGATACCTGGGTTTACAGCAGGCCATTCTCAATTCCCTTTCTTTCAGTGCTAATTGTACAAGCTTCTAAGAGCAAGTAAACGTGGGGAGCTCTTCTGAAGAACAGTGCTTCACTTAAAATACCAAAAATTAGTCACTACAAGAAAGACCTCTATAATTACCCAACAACTTGATAGATCTACTATCAAAAAAGTCCAACTGTTATTACATCCATTCAACATTAAAGTACTGGGAAACAGACAAGGTGTCTTCACATGCTCCAGGAGGAGAATGACATTTTCACGTAGGGCAGATGTCACATAGGCTCCTCATCTTGTCTCCTTTACATTGTCGGTCACGTCACCCATCCCATCCAGTACATTTCTGACAACTGCTTAAATCTTTCTGAGGTTTCTGCCCAGGCAGCAGTAGCCTTTGCTACATTCAGTGTCATATGCACTTCGCTCAGTTCTTCTAAATGCTTCAAGAAAATATTATTTACACAATCTTAACTGAAAACTGTTATATGTGAACAGTATTTCCTGAAGTAGCTTGTCATTGTCTGCATATAAGATACATGTCTATACAAGTGACTATTATTTCTGCACAGTTCCATTAAAAAAGAAAGCAACAGTTGACAACAGTTGAACTGCTTCCAAGCCCATTAAAAAAAAAAAAAAAAAAAAAATCAGACAATTTTACTCAGATATATTTTAAATAATTTACTTTCCCCAAATATGTACGCTTTGAAGTTGTTCACGCTATTGGAAGGTGTTTGATGAAACACTGTTAAGTCTGAATCACATTGCACTTAAACAACAGGCTGAAATGCGTTTAACTTCTGACCTGCAGCAAAACTGCTGGTAATAATGAATTTTTATTTACTATATGCACTAGATAGACAATTTAACAGTCTGAGCTGTCAGACAGCTGCTAAGAGTCTCGGTTTACTTTCTCCTTCCACCTCCACCACCAGCAAGCATGGTGGCCACACGAATGAAGATGTTCAGCGTGTCTGTATAGATGCCCATGCACCTAGGAGAGACAAAATGAAAGTTAATCCTGTTAAACAGAATGAGTATTATTTTTGCTATTTCCTGCCATTATACTTGACTTCTTAAAAGCCTCCATTAAAGGTCTGTAATAAAACTCAACTACAGCACGTCTTCTAGGCTCGATGAGTAATAATACCGCCTTATTTCACTCTACCATCTCTGCCAGCAGCATCAATTTGCAAGAAAACTTCACAGACAACACACCGTTCTCTCGCAGGATTCTTTTACTTCTACACTCACTGCTTAACTTCAAGAATTTTGGTGATGATTACAGACGACCAGATGCAAAGAAATGAGGAATTCACCTAAGACCAGACAGATGTTTACAGTGAGGAAGTTACGTATTAGTCAGACTTATCCTGACCGACAGTCAGTTAATCCTTCTTTCTTTAAAGCCTTGCTGATTTTTTTTTTTCTTTTTTTTTAAAGGACATTAAGACTAGTATATATTACACAACTACAGAAGATTCAGCATTCTTCATCTCAGCTGATACTGATAGTTATTTGCAGAGATAGCTACAAATCCTCTTAGAAATGATTCACAAAACAAACTTTTTTTTTTTTTACAGTTAGTGTCACTAGGGGCATGTGACACTACATATTCGAAGTCGTTTCCCTCATTTCAGGTAAATGATTTCAGTCTCAACTCCACTAGTTATTTTCACGTTACATTCCTAAACCTGACAATTCTTCCCATTTTACAGAAAGACAACAACAAACAAATTGCACAGCTCTTTAGAAATAAAGTGTAGCTCCACACAGCTCAAAACTGTCACACGTGCCTTCAGATCTAAATACTTACGCATTGATTGGGTCATATTTTGTTACTCCATAATATGGAATAGTCTCTGCACGCTTGATAACATGTTGTGTATCATAGAGCAGAAACATGCCAAAGAGTACCAATCCTCCATAAACAGCTACTGAATACAAGCCAGCCCCAAGAGCAGAAGTTGGTGGCAAGAACATGGATCCTGGAAAAGAATATGCAATAGCATTACACAAAGCTGCAGCACATGTCTTGCAATGGCTACCCCAGGCCAATTTTAACTGGACAGACCAGTTTGCAATCAGAAGTAAGCTGCACATTCTAGCAGCTTCACTTTACTGCTTACTCTATTTAACAGCATTAAAATGGTACATTACCAATCGAAGAGGCGAGAACGAAGCCAAAGCCTATTCCAAGTGGTCCTCCCATGTTCAGAAATTTTTCACTTGGAGCACACATGGCCACAGTTGAGAGCCCTCCGACGATTCCAGCTGTATACCAGGCAGCTCTGATGAGCAAAGGACCACCCAAGAAAGCTAAAGGAGCCACCACTGCACCCATGACACCTAGTCAAAGTAACAAAAAACCCAAATGTAACAGGTTTGGAACAGTCCAGGTAAAAACACCACCTACCAAAACTATATCTATTTGAGTCAGATAAGATGGCTTGAATTCACTCACATGACAGAATACCAAGTGTCATGGTTCTATGTTTTTTTTTTTCTTTTTGGGTTTCAGTATTCCACATCAAAACATCATGTAGTGTACGGTGTACTAAAGTGTTAATGTCCCAATTCCAGGTACCTATCCCTGTACATTACAGCAGTCACAGGATCTGGCCCTTCCAGGTGGGGGGGGCACTCTCTTGCTGCCTTGCAGTGGGTGCTGGAGGGTGCTTTCCTAGCTGTTCCAAGCTTTTCAGGTTAGACTCGGCCCTGGGAACTCTCTCTCTCATCTTGTCTGATTTGTTAATCTCAATTTCAATTAAATTGTATATATTGTGTCATCTTGTATTCCGATATTATAGTAAAATAAGTTTTCCTCCATAGATTGTTGCCGCTGTTCTTTTCCTCCCTTCCTTCCTTCCCATTTTTTGTGGGACTGGGGTGGGGGGGGAGGGCAGAGGCCTGTTGCCCCTGTCACAGACATAGATTGATCTGGTCAACTCCGTGACACCAAGGCACTTAGCTGCCAATTTATCATGCTGCCTTCTAGATAGGCATGCAATCTTAAGCTCAGCGATCTACTTTCCTCTGGCTTTAGAAAATACTTTAGGAAGCTCATCTTATAATGGACTAATCAACTCTTTCACAGCCTCAGGAACTCTCAAAACTGATACTTTTTTTTTTTTTTTTTTTTTTGCTACGTCAGTCATACTTCCTGCTAGATAATTCTATGAAGCCTCTACCTATTAATGACAAATAACTACAATAAATTCACTTTCTTCTTAGTAGAAACTTCAGCTCTACAAAGAAAAGTGCAATTCCAGTGCCTAATGAGTTTGTCTTTCCCAAACCACGCTTCTGGCAAAAGTTTTTATGACAGCCATTGTTACTTGAAGCGTGTAACATCCGTAAGAAATAAATCTGTACTCCATCCTACAAATGAATTGATAACATACGATCAAGAAGCCGCAGTTTAATACCAAAACTGTATCCTTCTGATCAGTTTTCATACACTTACTTATCCTGTACAGCTGAAATACAGTAAGTGTAGCGCTTACAGAAGCTATGGAGCCAGAACGCAATCATGAAACCAAAGCAAGTATTAAGAAATGAGTTCAATCCAGTTTGGCTCAAGTTTTGCTTAAGCATGATTTTTACAAGACTATGAGAAATTAGAGGACACATGGAACACCCCATTGGCTTCTGAAATCTACAGCAGCACGTAAAAATTAACAAAGCTTAGATACTATAGTAAAAGTGACAATTTAGTCATACAGAAGCAGACAACTTAACAAAAACTATAAACACATACCTGAATGCATCATCCAAGCAAGATGTTTAGCTGCTGGACTGTTTTCATAGGATATTGACCTGACCAACATTCCAGCACCGATCATAGCAGCAAAAGTTGCACCGATTGCCTGTAACAACAGCATCACAGAGCTCAAGTTGGCATATGGACAAAAGGTCTCTACTCTCCCACGTGATCTTTTCCAGCCTCCTAGGAGGTAACTTGCTGTTATCACAAGGATTAACCACTGGATGTTGTGCTATGTTGAACCACCACTATTCCACTGCACTCAGCACACTGAATGCGTAGGAAGCAGACACGTCTTGTTATCTTACCTGGATGATTTGTCTGCCAATATCATTTGGGTCTCAGCAAAAAGGAAAGTTTTCAAAGAGTTACAAAGAACAGCACACAAAGGAGTACAAATGCATAAAAATCTCTGATTTGATTCTTAGAAAGTGACAGAAGCAGTGTCACTAGCTTCAGACAGCCACTCATAGCAAGTTATTACTTGCATACGGCTGGTCAGGATAGCATAGCATTTTTATTTCTTGCATACATAGTTGGTCTTCCACAAACTATCAACAAGGTACCAAAGGGGCACATCAGCATGTAATTGGATTTTTAGTCACAAAAAGCCATCAGGGCATTACACTATTGTCTGTGCCCTTAAAGGCTACATCCGTGAATATCTGCACAGATTTGATAACAACCGTTAACATTTAGGATCACTTTACAGACACTCTAAATATAACATGAACTTACCAGCCAGGAGCCTTTTGTCATAAGGCTCATGAGTGCAGGAGATCTGCTTACTGCTACAGCTGACAGTGCTGTCAAGCCAATGCTTCCCGCAAAGTACATGTAGGTAGAGCGAATTCTGTCCTTCACATACTGGGGCCAAATACTGAAAAATAAGCATTTGTACATAGCTGTGCAATTAACAACACCAGAATGAAGATCAACTATAAGCATTTTCAAGCTAAGGATACAATGGGAGCATCCTAAGAATTGGTAAGGTTTAGCAATTTCTGTCATGAGTTCCTCTTACAACAAAGGTGCTGAACTTTTAAATCCTTCCCACCATACAGTGCTATTACATAACAATTAAAGCACCAATTACAAAGAATGCCAATTACAGTTCAATTTTGTGTAGGAAGCATACATCATAGAAAGTACAAAAGGGGAAAAGTAACAAATTTTAACTATGAAAAACTACAAAACAGTGTATGTAAAATAAACTGGGTTAAGGAAAAATTTGTACAGAATGTGTCCTGAGCAGTAAGAAGCCCAGCGAGCTGCTCACAAAATGCTGAGTCACTGTGCCCATGTTTATCTGTAACAAGACGTGCGAGTCCTTCGGAGAGCAAGACTAACAGAAATACATGAATGAGTGCTGCTGCAGTATGATTTCATCATCCTACAAATGGGCAGCTTAGAATCCTGCACAGAATTTCAGCCCAGAGCTTAAGAAAAATAAGCTACGCATATATTGGGAGACAGCAGCTACAGAAGCAACAAACAAAAGGAGGAGGGAGATTTGCTTCAAGTCTCCCTTCCTTAAAGCAACAAGCAGTTGTACTTACGCTGCTCTTTCAATAGCTCCAATCTCACTGGACATGCCCATGCCATAGTAACAGAGTGCCCCCAGGCCAACCGCAGCCCCTCCAGCAACAACAAGTTTTCCCAGGCGATCAACTGTATATCAAAGGGAAAAAGATAAAAATCATGCACTCACAATGCTTTTTTCTTGGATAGATAATAACGTTTTCACACACCAATCTCTTTTATCTGTAACAACTGATCCACGCCAGGTTTCTTAAAGCTTCACAATTGTGTTACCATTTCTAAAAGAGCTTTATGTAAAACACTCTAGATTCACTCCACCACTACTACAGAGCTTCATAAAACATAATAAAAATTAAGAGACTAACCACTAAAACGCTGGCTTTACTGGTCTTTATTACATAAACAAACAGGAATAGCAACACAAAACCAGTTAAAGATCTTGCCCACAGAAGACTTGTGGATACTGTGTCCTTTCCCATCATCCACTCTTGATGTAATGCTTGATCAAGAGATCTTTAGCATTAGATTAGAACACAATCTGTCCGGTTTTTTTTTTTGTTTGTTTTTTCTCCAATCCTTATACATTGTAGAACAGTACTTCCTTTCAATAGCATACAAAACAGATATAGCAAAGCTTTTTTTTTTTTTTTTCCTCCTTTCAAACATCTGCAATCAAGGAAGTACTCATCTCCATCAACAGGAACTCACACTGACTTAATAGTTCACAACTGTAGCTCAAAGCAGAAACAAGAAATTTCTTGGGAGAAACTGGGACATATGTGCAGCAACAACACAGAAAAGACAAGCAGAACAGTCTCCAGACATTTAAGATAGGTCACAGGTCAATTCAGAATACTAAGCAATGTTTTCAGACTATTTAGTGGTTTGAAGGGAACTGTTTCCTTCAACAGTTCAGCTTTTAAAAAATTGCTGTTTTTAAAGCAGGAACCCCACCTTTAAGAGCAGTTTCTGTAGATGGCTCAAATGCTGCTTCTTTAATTTCCTGGCCAATTTTCCCACGCCTTACGCCCGTTCTTACTCTGGTGGCATAACACTGTTAGATTCAAAGGTAAAATTAGAAGGATTCAGTGACATTAAGTAAGAGACATTCCTTTTAAGGAACTGCATGTACAGATTAGTAATAAACCATTTCTGAAAGAAAGCAATTAATTTGTAACATGCTGAAACACTGCCAGTCACTTGACACACTTGCAATTGCTAGTTTGTCTCTTATTCTACCTGTGCTTCTCCCTGGAGATGTGAAACAACCGAGCTCAGACAGAACCTGAACAACACATTTTAGGTAACTTTGTAAAAAACATTTTCACATGATAGAAGCATAGAATCAATGCAGAAGTTCTCAGTTTTAGCAAAAAATACAAAACAAAATAAGGTTTATGCCAGAATTTCTTCTGCTCTGTTCCTACAGTATTAAGCAACACCATGAAGATTTTTTTACTTCACTTCTCATGTAATTAACTCACATTTCACTTAATTTTGTGCAAGAATAGTACTCCTGCCCAGTAAACATGGGATAGCAGCGTGAATTCGTCATTTTCAAATCTAATCTTAATTTAGAGAACAAACCTTGAATGAAGGCCTATAAATTTCTATGGTTTCTATGACTAACATGACCCAAACAAATACAGCATGCTGCTCCACTGAAGCCTCAAAAACGTGCAAAAGCAGCAAAGAAATGCATATTTAAAAGCAGAAACAACTTTTCAAGTCTTCTGAAGTCACTGCTGTGGTGACGGGACACCTTATTAGTGGAAAACAAAAATAAAACAAAAAAAAAACCCTGAAATCTTAAATTAATTAAAATAGTTTTTTATGCTTATGATGAAAACACACAGAATAACCTTCTGTCAGTGAAGACTTAGGATAACAACAGTCTAGTTTCTTGAACTGCTTGTAAGTCTCCAGATAGTCCTGCCAGAGTTCAAATTTGACACAAATTTGTGCTACGACTCTAAAAATATACTGGGAATAAAGTCTTCAGAAGTAAAGTTTGTACTTCAACACAGTATTTAAGACTCGTACTGGGAAATGGGATACAGGCACAGATTGAACAAGAATTTGTGCTCCTCTCAACTTGTATAGTAATGCCTACTCAATGTCAATTACATTATTTTCCTTCCCCAAGAATTTTAATGGAATACATTACTTCAAGTCTTTTAAAACAAATTCTGGGTTTTGACTACTACCCTTCCTTCAGTAAGTTACAGCAGGTATGTCAAACAAGCAAAGGGCTCACAAGCATTCAAAACAAGCACTGCAAGCACAACACTTCTGGCAAAACACTCAACCTTTCAAAGTTTACTGTACCTGGTTAGGCTGCCACAGACGAAATGCTTTTATACCAGAGTTCCTCAGAGCTGGGGAAGCCTGAGCAATGGTGGGGCGGATAGCCTGGCATGGCAGTGTCCTCAGGCACACGAGCCGTGCAACCAGCATGTCTGCTAGGTAACAATTCTATATACTGTGTTCCTGTAACTGCATGAGAACGCATGCTTTACCATTTTGCTATGTGGTTTTCAGACAAAAAGGTATACTTTGTACTTATTCTCAACTACAGCATGCCCTATAACTGAAATAGTAGTAACACACAACTTTCACAGAGCTTTTAGTCAGTCACTGCCCAGAATACAAGTTCAGACCAGAGAACAATGACATGACTTAGACATGAATCAGCAGCATAGAACAGCCTCTGCACTCCATAGATAGCTTAGTATTGCAAATGTTCCCTTAGTTCCACAAGTACCGTGTGCATCACAAGCAAGGAAATCAATGTTAGGTGTACTTCAACAGTACAGAGCAATGACAGCAGAAAAAAAATCTCACTGCTTTGAAGCACAGTGACAAAACCGTACTTTATAACTGAAAATACCTAGAGGGACGCATCCTGATTCTTCAGTTACGGCCTAATCTTTGCACGTAAACCCACAGGGTAAGAACTTAAACTTAAAACATCATGAATACGACTTTTTTTTTTTTTTTTTTTTTTTTAAGAAAAAGCTGGTATTTGAAGCAAACTACTTCCTGCATCAATCGCTACGCAGTTAAAGACCAAACGGAACACCAACGCCCCAAAGCGTTCACTTGAAAACGCGGCACCGCGGAGCCGCTGCGGACCCCAGGGGCGAGGACGGCTGAAGAAGGAACCCAGCGCACACCTCATGGCTAGGCCGCACCGAGAAAGCCTCCAAAAGGCCGCCTCCAAAAGGCCTAACCTGAGTCCTCAGCCCCCCCACCCTCTGCGAGCCCAGCTCTGCACACCCCAACACAACCCGACCCAGCTCCTCTACCCGCCAGCCTACAAAGGCAGCGCAGCGCACCCCACCGGCCCGGCCCATCACGCACCAGCACGACCCCAGCACCAACTCAGTCTCACGAACGCCCTCCACAACACCCACTCGGGACCGGAAGTGACGCACCACCGACCCGCGCGGCCGCCACGATTGGCTCGGTCCTCCCACGAGGTTCCGGAGCGCGCAAGCGCCGTTGGCTAGCGGAAGCGGGGTGATGCGACGTCCGGCAGCCTTACCGACGGCTGCCGCGCCATCTTTAATGCGGGCAGAGAAACTTCTGGAAGCCGCCGTGAGACGGTCGAGCTGTCTCACGTAGTTCTAGGCATCACCACTGGGCCCACAACGCTGCTTTACATAGGGCCGACTCCGAGCACTCTCACGGCGCCTGCCGCTGCGGACAGAGCCGCTGAGCTCGCTAGAGAAGCGAGCGGCGAGAATCGGCCGCCATTTCACCCGCGGGCAGCGCGCCACAGCGTCGCCATTTTGAGTGCGGGCGCCGCCCTGCGGCCGTCGCTCCCCGCCGCCGCCCTTGGGCTGCGTAACTTTGTCGGCTGTGTCTAGCGATCAGCGGGCCGCTGCCCAGGCAGAAAAGGGCGGGAGAGCCGAGCTGCTGAAGGCGTTCTCACCCCATTGCCCGCTGTGTGCAAAGCATGGACGGAGCGCGCTTGGCCCCGCATGCGGAGACTGTCGCCCTGCCCGCCCCTCGGCACTGCGCGTCCCCTCCGTGTGCGACCAGCAGATGGCATCAGCTTGGTGAAAATCACCCAGCGAGGCTGTAGCGGTTCCCTACGCCTCCAAGGAGAACGAGTGGTCTTGTTCTCCACGCCTTCCCCACCGATATGTTACCTGCTTTGTGCGCCTGAGGTGTGCTCGGGTGCAGATAAGCATGACTCATAAGCACAAAATGCAACACTGTGTACATGTTGTACATAAATCAAAGGTATATGTGTTTCCAGCCTTGACCCAAGCAGAGCGTGTTGAGGATGCTCTAGCCCTTCCAGAATTGAACCCTCCCTTTGGCAGCTTGTTTCCAACCTCAGTCCAACTGGAGCTTTAAACTTTTTCCAGACCATCCCTGAAACTATTCCTATCGCCAGCCCTTGGAAAGCTGCTGCAGCACTTGACTAGAGTATGGATTTCCCTGGGGATTTTCCATTTGTAGCCCTTGTTTTCATTTGAGCAGTTCCATGCCAGCTGAAGCTCTGGCTTTTTTAATTTTTAACTTTTTTTTTTTTTTTTTGTCTCCATCCCTAGCCATAAGCTTTACGCTGAACCAAAGGTCAGTGATACTCTATAGCCCAGAGCCTTAATGCTGTTGGGAGAAAATTTCTTTTGGCAGCCCTATTTCTCTTTGCCAGGCTTTTTTCCAGCTCCATCCCAGCTGTATTTCAGGCTTTCACTTTCATGCTAATCCTGACTTTACATTGAGTTATAAGCCAGGCACTATTGAGAAACACAGTGTTCTTCAGAGGAGAATTCTTCTGGCAGCCTTAAGTTTGCTTTGGCAGACCCTTTACAGCCCCACTCCAGCTACTGCTCTGTAGTTTCTTCCAGCCTCAACACTACATATGGGCATGGTTCTTCACAGCCAAGTAAAACAGACTGTGAGGGCCTTGAGCCAGGATCAAAGACAAATATAACGAGAAAAAAAAAAAAAAAAAGCTGTTGAATACAGAGTGAAGTACAGAAATAGAATGAGAGTTCCAGATAAACTTTAGAGGATTGTGAGATAAGCCTTTCTATACCTTGGAGCTTCCTTGGTTAAACCACAAGAAAGGGAATATCGTGAACTGCTAGTTTGCAAAATGAAAGTCAGATGAGAGAGATGAGGTGTGGGAGAGGTTTGAAAATGCACTGGCACGTGGGATCTTAAAGAAGAATTTGAATGAGAAGAACGAAGCACAGGAAGCGTGTAAATTGCATGCGTGAGTGCCAGACCTAGTGGGGTTCAAGGTCTACTTGAACTTACTCTGAAGATTGTTGACTTTCTTTTGGAGTAAATGGAAATTCTGAGCTCTGAAGTCTGTAGCCCCAAGGTCTCCTAAAACAGAATAAAGAAAAGCCAGTTTCAGTCCACAAATGTTATTGTTTATTTAGAGGCTTGTAGAATTTATTTCAGAGTTTATAATACTCTATAACTGTTGGGTACTAAAGGATTCATTGTATTAATTAACATTTAAATGTATAATTCAGTTATTAATGGTGAAATAGTAATAATTTATGCAGGGAATCAAATTCATCTCTCACTAGAGCATGTAATGTTGTAGAAAAATCTTTGGGGAATTTCAAATAAGATCCTCAGTCCTGCTCTGTCCCAAGTTGTTTCTTTAACAGATAGTTTTGCCAGAAGCAACTGAAATCCACAAAGGACCCACACTGCAGCAAATTCAGCTGTTGAGACTGTATCATAGAAACTGACCTGCAAGCAGATACTAGCAGGTAGTCAACAAATTTAAATGCTTTAGCTAGCAAAATCAGTGATTGCACATGAATGGAAAAACAGTGGCCTCTTATGTAAGTGAGTCTCAAACCATCCAAGAGGTTTTGAGTCAAAACTAGCAGGTTGCATCCTCTGTGTTGGTACCACTGCAACATGCCTTTCTTTCAGATAGGAAAACAATAGCTTCAGTCACTGTGCAGCTTTGTATTACTGCAGAGCTTCGAAGCAGCTAGCTGAGCTTTTGCAGTAGTTCAAGCTCACACTGACAAAAATGTGGAATAACAGCGTGACAGCAAAGCTCGTTGGTGAGCTGGCAGCCAAATGCACGCATAAAAATTGCTTTTTAACACTGATGCACTGTTCTTCATAGCATTATGTTCAAATGCACTGTGTCCCCAATGCCTGGAGCAGAATCCAGTGGTGTTTTTTTTTACAATCTTCATTAATAACCTGGACGAGGGGACAGAGTGTACCCTTGGAAGGTAGATGCAGACTACAGAAATCCACTGGTTGTGCTGCCATTTAGAGACACCTTGGAAGGCTGGAGAGCTAGGTAAATGGGAATGTCATGAAATTCCTGAAAGCAAAATGTGAATTCCTCCCCCTGGAGAGGAATAGCCCCAGCCACCAGCACCAACGGGGGCAGAGCAGCTGGAGAGCAGCTTTGCAGAGAAGGCCCCATGCTGGACATTAGCTAGTAATGCGCCCTTGCTACAAAGAAAGCTGAAGATAATGTAGGCTGCATTAGGTAGGGTGTTGTTTGCAGGTCAAGTGAGGCTCCATGAATCTATGAAAATATCAACATTATGATTCCTGAAAGACCCACTTTTGTGTTTTTCAGAAATAATATGCATCAATAAGACATGTTTGGAAAATACGAAACGTTTTCCCCAGATGGTATATATATATATATATGTATATATATATATATATAAAGTGACATTTCCAAAGAAACTAAAATAGAAAAGAAAAAACCGAAAAGGTAATGTTCTTTGAAAACACATGAACAGTTCCTCAGAAATCAGAAGGATAAACAGGAAAAGTTGTACTGACATAAAATTCTCCCGTGATTTTAATTTCAATAGTCTGTGTTTTCACCTACAGCAGGTTTTGCATTTGCTGGATATCTTCTAGTTACCTGGGCCAGAACAAGCTGGATGGATATTGGAAGGTTAAATTGTGCAGGAGCAGAAGACTCCACCTGTGTAGGGACTTTGAGGATCCCGAAGGGATGTTTGAGGTCAGCAGGGCAGGGTGCAGGTGCTGCCTTCCAGGCAAGATCTGGGTGAGGGATTGGCCCTTTTGCTGCTTCCCCAGCCTTATGGGCCCCCTGGAGTGACATATCCAATCAAGGGCTGCTGCCAGGGCGTAAGGGATGGTGATGAGCAGCTGCAGTGCTTTGGGGTAAAGCTGGTCTGACTGCTCCCAAAGAGACTAACGCTTCCCTCCTCAAGTCTTGTAGGAGAAACCGAAGAATTAAGTCAGCTGTACTTACAGGTAAATGATTTATGAAGGGATTTCATGTCTTGCATAGGAACGAGGATCACCACTTATGTGTCTTCCAGGAAATATCACGTGAGGTATTTTCATCTGGACACTCTGCTTTGCCAGTCGCCTGAAAGAAGAGAGTGAAACACTTAGGTTTAGCTCAATGCAGTCCCGAAAAGCCACATGAGCTGCAACAAGCCCATTGCTCCACTGAAAACTATGGGCATGGTGAATTTTGAAACTTAAGCCTCTGACGCAACAGATCTGGCATCCTTCTGCAGAAAATGACATCTCTATCAGTGGTTCACACGACTGTGTTCCTTGCCAGAAAATAAATAAATCTGTGGTTAGTGCAATTTCTCCTTAGGGTAAATCTTGCCATTGAAGCTTTTCAAATTAGAAGAAAACTATTTTGACTTCCTGGCAGCACTGTCTCTAGCATTCCAGGTCTCTCTCCTGGCACACCACAGGGGTCTTTTGGACTGAATTTATTCCTGCTATTTACATGACAAACTCACATTTATTAGGTGCCTAATGTAAGTATTTAACATTAGATATCATGGAGTGGTGCAAAGAGAATTTGGAGAGCCAGTTTGATATGAAATCATGTATTTTTCATTGATTATATGTTTGACATCTGATACGGAAAATGAGGGCGACAGCATTCATTTCTATTTCTGAATTTAATGACTGTTAAAATATGTGAAGGCTTATAAACTTGAATGTCAAATCCCGAGTTCAGTAAATCGCTTAAGCTGATGGTAACTACAGTACTAGTTGAAACAGCCCCCTAATGTTTTGAATTTAAAGCATGCACTCAGACTGCTGCTTTAGTTGCTCAGGAGCAGTGCTTTGGTTACTCAAGTGCTCAAAGAGAGATGAAGATGAGTGCTTGGGTGAGCAAGGACCTGGCAATGGATGAGCAAGGTCCTGTTCTAAATGAATAGAGACACGGGACATTTTGTTCACTGAAGATTCTGTTTGAATAAATTGCACGTAAAAGAACATTTATTTTTCTTGATGCGTTTTGGAGTCTGTGGTACGAATTATTTATTTGCATCAAATAATAAGAGAAGATAGAGCAGTTTCAAAATTTTTCAGTAGAGAGGTGAAGTCTACATTGATGGCAAGAGGCCACTCAACCTCCAAGAAACTGCTATTCATTTTCCTTAAATAGAACAAATAATCATTTTCTTAAATGCTTTTGAGCTCCGTACTGCAGCAAAAAATG